GAGGATATCCTCCGAAGCGTATGCGCTGAGGCGCCAAAACACTGGAGCCAGATGCTCCCACTCGTTGAGTTCGCATTAAATAATGTGGTGCACGCCTCGACAGGCTGCACTCCGTTCTATGTGAACGGCTTGGTGAACCCTCGCGTCCCACTGACGCCGCCACGCAGTGGCTCAGGACTTGATGGGGGAGGGATAGCCGAGCGGCTAGCTGATGTCAGCCTTGTTGCGGTTCGCAAGCAAGTCAATGACTTTGTCTCTTTGAGACTGAGAGTTATGCGTCAAGTACGCGACGCTATGGCTGAAAGCCAAGACATGCAGAAAAAACATGCAGATGCCAAGGGCAGACGCAATGAAGAAAGGTTTGAGGTCGGAGACCAAGTTTTATTAAATGCAAAAAACCTACGTACTCATGCAGTGTCTGCAGTCTTTAAGACAAAATTGAGACCACGGTTCATAGGACCATTCAAGGTCGTGGTTAAGAAGGGCCTAGCGTGTACGCTTAGCCTTCCGAAGAAGATGCGCACGCATCCAGTCTTCTACGTTGGCTTACTCAAGCCGTATCAGAACCCTGCTCAGGTGAGCGCGGAGGCGTTGGCGCCAACGGTGGCTGGGCCACGACAGACTGCGTAACAGCGGGAGGCCGAACCACGGCAGGCTGAACGACAGGAGGTGGCGGGGCCACAAGACGCAACAGCAAGTCGATCTGACCTTGCAGCTGAGCGACTTGACGCTCAAGGTCCGCAACTCGGTTCTAAACCGACTGTGGTTGCTTAAACCAGTCCACACGGTGGTTCGCCTCATCGAGACCATCTGCAAGGCGACTCAGAGAGTCAGTCGTATCATGAAGAAACTGGTTCAGAGAGTCCACACGCTGCTCCAGCGCGAATACGTCGCTGCGACTCGCAATGCGAGAGTCCAGCTGAGGCTCGGCCTCCTCCTACTCTGCTCGACGAGCACGGCGAGCTTCACTTCCATGTGGAACGCCTGGTGGCGAGGCACAGGCGCCAGGAGTACCATGTGAAATGGAGGGGTTATCCTCACTTACAAAACTCTTGGGAGTTTGAGATTGTCCTCCGGCAGGACTGCCCTGACGTCATCGACGCTTTTGATCGGGCACACCCACTGCCCCGCCGCCACGGCGCACGACCGCGTCGTCACGCGCCGAGCGCTCCCCGCCGCTAGAACGCGGGGGTGACAGGTCAGTGGCTGAGCTCAAGCTCCGACCAGTGGTTGTAGCAGCCGGCTCATAGGAATGAGCGGCGCTCGCAGCATGAGCGAGAGGTGGTGACGCCTCGTGATGATGGGGACGGGGTCCCAGTGTTTGTGGGCGTGCTTTCGATTCAGTGAAGTCTAAGCGCAAACGTCTCTCAAGACGAATATCAGTTTCAGATAAACTTGCTCGAACTCTCTCCACCCAGCTTCGAAATTGTGCTTTATAAGAACGCTGAGATTCCCCAGGGTTGAGAACAACCGGAATGGTTTGCATAGAAGAAACTGGTTGGTGGCTGAGCTGCATTTGCAGGCGCGCCTGATACTCCTGAGGAGTTGTGACCTGTCGAGTCAGATATCGCTCTCGGCGCCGGTGCCGCTGCACTTGCTTATCAGCAGTTGAGGCCGCAGGCTCACATGTGTACGTGTTCAGCAGCTGCTGCGCCGCGAGGCGGGTCGCTTCGGCAGGGCTCCGCGGCTGGAAGCCGTAGTCACGGCGTGGCGTTAGAACAAGTGGTTGGATCACAGGTCAGAACGACTGCGAGCGCTGCTCATTGGACAACTGACGGTCTTGGACCTCATCCAGGTCATTCGTAATGACGTTGTGATCGTATCGATCTTTCTCGTCATACCGCGACGATAGCGGTGGCGCATCGCGCAGCGCGCGAATCGGATTCGAACATTCAGAGAACGGATGCGGTGTCCGCGGGTCTCTTCTAGTTTGAGATCGCGCCGCCGAGCGACTAGACCTCACAGAGGAAGCTGGAGAAGGCGCGACACCAGTATGCGACCTCGGAGCGGTTGGAGTAGTCCTCACTACTCATGGGCTCGTCGTAGTCGGCTTCGCCCTCTCCAAGTTCCGAGAACGGAACATCGTTCCCTCTGGGCGGCGCTTGCGGCTCTGACGAGCTTTGAGCTTCGCTCTCTTCTTGGTGACGCCTCATGGTGCGTGGACCGTTTCGACGGCGATACGCTTGGTGTACTCCGCCACGGAAAGAGACGAAGATGCTCTTGGAGCAGTTGCGGAGAGCAGTGAGGTCTAGACGACGGGCAGGGCAGCGCGACGCGCTGGAGACGTTGGGCCGTTGGCCCGGAGTGGAAGTGCCAGGCATCAAGGATGCGAACGCGTTTGTGAGCTCGCGGAGCTGCAGAACGCAGAGGTGAGGTCTAGTGACCTCCGTCGTCTTGACAAGACGTGACCTCGCTGAGGAATGTTTCGAGGACAGAATGTTCTCATCTTAGTGAGGGAGAGTGTAGCGGGGTTACATGGTGTGGAACACACAGGGGTACGGAGTACCCGGAGACTTAACAAACTCTCAGTACATAAGCTGATGAGCTAACGTACTCTCAGTACATAAGTTGGAGAGCTAACAAGGTCTCTCAGTACGTTGGCTGAAAGCCACACGTTATACCTTTGATTAGGTTTAACTGTGCTAGATAGTTGAAGAGATACATTTATCCCTAGACGACTTGGCCGCAATTATAGTAAATAAAACGCTTCTGGTTCTAAAGCATAAAGTTAAGGTGTTAACTTTGAGCCCTGGTCTTGGGCTGTAAGTGTCCTTTGGATAAGGAACTTATTATTAGTGACTCTTTGAGTCGAACGTCTTCATCTGACGCTAAAGCTACGGCAGCCCCGCTGAGCAATAGATCTCTGGTGTATCGGCTGTTGAAAAGCATTTCGTAGCATGACCTGTATGGCGAATGGGTTTACGAGATGTCGACATACCAACACGTGAGCGCAGAGCCAGCCCGTTCAGTAGAGCTGCTTAGAGTCGCATATGAACTTTCTGCAAATCGCTTTAATCTCGCCGAGGTTCCACGAAGGATTGCTCCAATAATGCTCGAACGAAAATCGCAATAGAACTTTCACGGCACGAATTGACAGATATCGCAGCTACATCTTTTTCTACTTCTCGTTTTTCGTGAGGTTACCTCTGAGAGAGGCTTTGTAGGTCTTGACTCGATTACCGTTCAGTATATGGCCGTAGAGGTTGTCATCGCGCACAACGTTGTATTCCACGGTAAAACATATTATTGGATGCTGTTAGCCGCCCGTCTCGACTTTCTTCTGTGAATAGTGGCTATCTCCTAGTAGCAGGCCTTAGAGGAGCGGCGTTTACCGCCGCCGTGTGAGATGCAGAAGCCACAGCCGTGCGCGCACTTACCACCGACATCAAATTTTGCACTACTGACGCCCGCCGTGCGTCATACAGAAGCCTTTGCGGCGCGCCACATAATGCTGGAAAAAGACCTGGCACGTCGCGTCTACGATGATGTGGTTCTTACGTTTAGTAGTAACCAGTAGCATCAAATTGAGAGGTGGGGCTAACGAGAATATGGAAATCGAAGTACGCATCTTCAAAAATGCAGGTGATATTAATCCTGCAGCTGCACGGTGCGTCTTCCTTCTTAATAAACAATTTCGATTTTCGTGACGTCTACGTATCAACGGGCACCCACCGATGCGACCTAACCAAGTTTTCCTAGCGAATAACACCATGACAGTAGCCTCTCCTATGCCAATACTGCAATACCCAAAAAATGCCATGAAGCCACTTGTACACCTCGAGCATGGCTTGAGGAAGCCGATCAACCCACCCGATACATATCTATCACAATCTTGCGGGGTCCAAAGCGATTCATCTTAAGATTTGTACCCCTTGAAGACTTTCGGGCATGTGTCATCTTGCCTTCATCAAAGTTCTGTAGATGTCTTTCTGCCTCTAATACCCTTCGTTGTCAACGCAATCACGGGGTTTGATAGGAACCAGACCCGCGAATGTTGTTCCTGTCAGCTCGATGGATCCCAATCTGGTTTCGTAGCGACTTTTAAGTACGGTTTGTCACCTTGAATCATACCAACATCCAAGAAAAAAGGTACACGAGGTTGTAATTTTTTTAACTGTGGTTGCCAAGGAATAATCGAGCACCGATAAGTCATCACATCGAAGCGCGCGGGGGGGGGGGTCTCGGATAAAATTTTCGTCAGCAGCTGTTTTGTCTCGAAGGCGCAGGCAGAATGGCAAACGTTGTTGGAGAAAATTAAAGCGATCACTGGTATCGGAGATTTCGACGATTCTGTCTACGAATGTCGCCACAGCTTTTCCAGTCTTTGTTGTCGTAGCTGTCACGTGAATTAGGCTCCGGCTGCATCGTCACAGGCTGTTCCACCACCGTAAGAGCGCTGTTATCCCTTGCTGCTTGTAGCGAGCGCTCCAAAACTTGGATTTAATTTATCTTAAGTGGTTCGCATAAACTTGTTCGCCGAAGCATATTTGGTTTGTTTTAGACTGGTGGTAGTCTCTTTTTGTCAAGCGGCGATTGTACATTCCTTTGTAGAAATAGCCATTTTCGCTGCAGCGAGCCTGCGGCAGTTTTGAAAACGAGTCTTTACAAGTTCTGTTACTCGTCCTTTAAGCCAGTATTTTTCTAAAAAGTGTGAAGCATGGGTAAAGTAGCTAGCAACATATTTGTGTTCATGAAGTGAGAGAAGTAAAATGACTTTTCACGACAATTTCACGACTACGAGGCTTCACAGAAACAATTAAATTTTTTGCGGCTAACGCCGGTATAGTATTGGCTACAGGACCCTCATTTTGTTTTATTTATGGAAAGTGCTGTGAAAACAGAAAAACGGAAAGTGGTGCTGTGGACCACAACAAATTGTCAATAAAATGAAGCTCATTCCTTCATTTCATTGGCTAAAACTCGCATGCCGTACGTGCGTCTTTCCTCAGGCATATACCGGTAGAGTCTACCGGCCCCGACCCATGACGCCAATTAACCAGATGGAGAAGCTGGCGGCGGAGCTGGAGCGGCAGCTGCGCGAGGATCAGCTCCAGGAGGGCGACGACTGGTTCCTAGTGTCCTCCACGTGGTGGACGAATGTGCTGGGCGCGTCTCCTAGCGACGATACGGACGATGACGCGGACGACTCGGACGACGCCGTACCGCGCAGAAACAGCGATCTACGGGTCCAGAACGCCCCGTTACTGGAGTTGGAGCTCAGTAGTCGTAAGCGTGGGGTGGCGGTGCTTAAACCCATGCTGGTACGGGGCACAACGCACTTCTAGAGCCGGAGATACATCGTTTTAACGCCGTTACTGTCGCTATACCCAGGTAGAGGACAGGGACTACCGCCTAGTGAGTCAGAAAGTGTGGAATCAACTGTCCGATCGCTTCAGCTTCGACTGGGAGATCTCCAGACCTGTAATAACCCGTGGACCTGCCAAAAATCGGATTGTGGAGGTCAATCCCGTCATTTTCGAGGTAATTATCTACTATATGAGGGCAAATAATGGTCGCATACTCAAGCTACTTACTATATTAGGTGCTGGGGTGGCGTACGGGTCTGGAAGGGCCTGTGGAGCTGATAGACACCGAGCAGAAGCCTTTAATACTCACAGCAAGCGAGAAATGCTCACTCAAGGAGCTGCAATTGAAGATCTGGAAGGTGGCAGCTGAGTCGCAACTTAGTGAAATGTTCCCAGATGTTACCGAAGAGAACCTGATGGACGCAGTGCAAGTTTGTTACAGGATGGATGAGGAGTCGTCGTGGACGCCACTCAGAGACGCCGTGGTGAAGGAGGAGCGCCCGACAAACGGCTTTACGAGCTCTAACGACCCAGATATCCTCGTGGAGAGCACTACCGTGGGCGAATTGCAGCTGGAACAACGCGATTACAAGCCTGGCAAGAAGAAACTGCACCATTTGCTCGTGGAAGGAAGGTTTCTCGCTCCCCAAGAGGCTGGATCAAGAGATTGGAGACACGGCAAGTTCTATAGTGAGATTCAGGCTGAAGCGTGGCGGTTTAGGCTGCAGAAAGACCAGCTGATCGACGCGCTGGATACCGACAATAAATGGTACGAGTCTCGTGTGGTGGACCTGGCGGAGACGCAGGTGAAGGTGCATTATCGCGGCTGGACAGCCAAGTGGGACGAGTGGGTCAACCGTACGTCGACGCGCCTCGCTCCGCTGCACACAAAGGTCCGGAATTGGCGCAATTTCCAGCTGAATGACGAGATCCTCGTGGGTAGAGTCGTGAGTGGCAAAAGCTTCCCAGAGTGGCGTATAGCGCGCGTCACGGACGTCCAGAAAATCGAGATGGACGACTCTCTTCGGGTCGAGCTGGATGTGGGCGGCAATAAGCGCTGGATGGATGCGCAAGATGAGTTGCTGTGCCCGGTAGGCACCCACAAGGCTGTGAACGCGTCCACTGTCGTCGCATCGCCCGTCTCCACGCACTCTCCGGCGTCTTCTTACAGATATGGGCGGGACTTTGAAGCAGGACGTGGTCGACCGGAGTTTGAGGGCGTCGTGGGTCTCTCCAATCTGGGCAACACATGCTTTATGAACAGTATGCTGCAGTGCTTGATCAACACGGCGCCATTGCGAGAATATTTTCTGAAGAAAGTCCCAGAGACGGGTACGTTGTGCTTTACGAAGGAGATCAACCGAGATAATCCGTTAGGGATGAAAGGCATCATGGCGGTGGACTTTGCGAGTCTGTTACGGAAGATGTGGAGCAATGAATTCAAGGTGGTGACGCCCACGAAGCTCAAGTCGGTGATTGGACAATATGCGCCGCAGTTTGCAGGATACCAGCAACAAGACAGTCAGGAACTGATGAATTTTCTGCTCGATGGGCTCCACGAAGACCTCAATCGCGTCAAGGCCAAGCCGTACACGAAACCGGTGGAGCGTAATGGCCGCAGTGACGCCGACGTGGCTCGAGAAGAATGGCAGCAGTTCCTGCGACGTAACGACAGTGTCATTGTGGACAACTTTATGGGCCAATTACGCAGCCACGTGACGTGTTCAGACGCTGATTGTGGCCACGAATCGGTCACGTTTGACCCGTACATGAGTCTCTCTGTACCCATCCCGAACAACGAGGCGGTGGGGGTTCAGGTGCAGCTGTTCTGGGCCAATGGAGACATCCCGATGAAGTACGCCTTACATCTACCCAAAGACGCTTGTAGCTTACAAGATGCCAAGGAGAAACTCAGTCAATTGTCGGAGGTCCCTATCTCCCGGCTCTTCTTCGTGGAGGTATGGAACCATCGCATCATCAAGGCCTATTCAGACAAGTTTTCCGTCGAACGCGTGCGCGAAGACGTTCTTCATGCGTACGAGCTGGAGCTGCCAGTGACAGAGTACTCGTTCTCGTCTCCTACGATCCGTCCTGCTGGTCCGAGAAGGTTAGGCACGCTGGAATCCGAGTCGGAACGTAAGCAGATGCATCTGGTCGAGTTGCTGCATCAAGCGCCCGTGGCGTCGCCTGTGGATGGACGTGCGACTTCCGATGGCTACGACATGTTGGTAGAGGAAGGGTATGGGCCAAAGCAACGTCGCGTGGAGGTGGAGCTGTTCAATACGCCGCTTCTGGTGTCCATTGACACGACGTGGACGAAAGCAGAGATCCACGAGAAGGTGTGGCGAGTGGTACATCGCCTTGTGGCTACAGGAGAAGCAGACAAGGAGTCCGACGCGAGTTTTGGATGTCGGCAGGACCAGCGACTGCCCTATCGTCTTCATGTGACGGAACCGAACGGAGCAACGACGTTTCTCAACGATCTCCCACGCGACAACGAGCCTGTGGACGTGTCTGGCAACTCGAACAGACCGTTCAGCTTCACCCTCGAGTGGAAACGCAATGGGTACGTCTTTATTCTGTGCTCTTGTGTGCTCCTTATCGACTTGTTTCTAACCATACCACTCAACAGATACCAACAGGGCTACGACGAGACGTCGGCCAAGCGAGTGGAGCTCCACGAGTCGATGAAAAGTCTGGAGATCTCGTCGAAACCAGCGCGTCTGACGCTGTTCGACTGTCTGGCCAAGTTTACGGAGCGCGAGCAGCTCGGAGAAGCGGATGCGTGGTACTGTCCCAAGTGCAAGAGCCACGTGCGTGCGTTCAAGAAGTTCGACCTGTTCTCGCTGCCCAAGGTGCTGATCTTCCACCTCAAGCGCTTCCGGTACGCGCAGAACTCGTTCTACATGCATCGCGACAAGATTTCGACGCTGGTCGAGTTTCCAGTGCAGGAGTTGGATCTGGCGGAGTTTGTGGTCGGCCCAGACAGCGGGTCGGCGCGTCTTTACGATCTCTACGCTGTCTCGGAGCACATGGGGGGTCTAGGAGGCGGACACTACACGGCTGTGGCCAAGAACCCCGTGAATAGACGCTGGTTTGACTTCAACGACAGCCACACCAGTGCCACGACAGCTCAAGACGCAGTGTCGGCCAAAGCGTATGTGTTGTTCTACATCCGTCGCGACGAGGCGTAAGGGAGAAACATCGATCAAGGAGAAGCTCGCTTGTCTCTTGATTCGCTGCTCTCGAGTTTGAGTTGTTGAGGTGTTTGGGCGGACTTAGGGACTGGGTTTGGAGGAGGCAAAGCGGTAGTGACGTGTCCTGTCGGTCGGAGAACTGGGACAGACAGGCAGCAGGTGGACATCTTGAGGAGGCAGTCGACGCAGCCCAGTCAGCAACGTCGTGACCCTCGTGTCTTCGTCTTTCTGGTCGAGTGAAGCACAGCGCAGTTGGTCTGGCAGGTCGATGATCCCGCTGAAAGGCAACACGCGACTCAAGTACTGCGCTTGGACTTGAGAACACGACGGAGAGGCTCTTGTGGTCGGGCGTTTACGAGGAGAGACGTGTCTTGTCTGTCTCCGATCGCTGGTGGCTGGTCTTGCAAGCTCGTGTAGCCGTGAGTTGGGGAGTTGTGGCGTGATTTCTTCACGTGGGAAGACGAGACTCTTTTGGTCTTTTGAGTGTACAGGAGCAGCGTCTGTGAAGCGTTGTGTGAAGTCTCGAAGTCTCTGCGAGTGTTCGCTCATGAGTGCTCGTACGACGTCTCGTAGGGGCGAGAGGAAGGACGCTACCGTGTCTTTACGGATACAGAGCATGACACAAGTTTCCAGTGCGACGACATCCCATGGAGCGAGTGACGCTGTCGTGGCGAGTGCCCCTTCTTGTCCGAAGACCGCTGGGGCTTGGATCACAGCGACGATCGGCTTGTCGCTCGGCTTGGAGACTTTGACACGGCCTTGGATCAGTACAACCAGCACACTGATCTCCTCTCCACGACAGATAATCGGTCGACCTTCTCGTGCTGTAAGCGACTTGGCAGCGTATGCGAGATGCGTGACGATGTGGGGCGGTAGAGCGTGTAGTCGTGGGATCGACGCGATGGCCTTCTCCGTGGCTCGTAAGACTACTTGTTTGTATGGTTTAATGGCTCGTCGATAGAGATCTCCAGACACCACAGCCAGCTCCGTCCACGTCGTACAGAAGGTAGCACAGGCAGTCGCAGTCCGTAGACCTTGAGGCTCAATGAGACTGATCTCTCCGAAACACGAACCTGGCGTGAGTGTGCGGAAGAAGCCTGTACTGTAGGCTGCTAGAGACACGCAACCAGTTATGAGAACGTAGAAGCAGTCGCCGGTTTCTCCCTGACGGAACACAAAGTCTCCAGATTGTACACGTAGGTAGGTGCTCGTACGTGCGAGTTCTTGGAAAACTGAGTCGGGTAGTTGAGCGTCGGAGAAATATTTGAGACTAGCAAACCATTTTTTTAAGTTGCGGAGATCTCCGGACGAACGATGACTTGTAGGACGATGGAGACGAGCCTGAACTCCGTGAACTTTAGCTAGAGCTAGGAGAGACGACACGTGATCAGTGCTGCTCGCTTGAAGACCGTAAGAAGACGGTCTCTTATCGTCGAGGGTTAACGGTACGGAGACCGTCTCTCTGTCCCAGAACGTGACGTGGGTGCGCCAAACACGACGATGTGTTCGTTGCTCCTGCTTGCGGTCGAGAAGTGTGAGGTAGGAGACGGCATGGAAGATTCGCTGCAATACGATGCGCAAAGGTGGTAGTTTAGCTGGGATCTCTACGATCTGAAAGTCTTCTAGTCTTGATATGGGGCTAGGAAAGCGGATAGTTCGGATGGTAGAGAAGACGTCGCCAATACGACGGAAACGCGGAGATATTCGCACGATTACGACGCTTTTATCTTGTAACCCGTAGTCGATTAAGTCGTCGTCGCCTTCGAGTTGTTCATCGTGGAGAAAGAGTTGTTGATGCTCGAATGGAACTCCGAAGTGACGTTGTAGTGCTGCCCGCATGCAGGTTAGAGACTGCGAACGGTGGACCGAGAGTCTTCCGAGTGCTGAGCGACCGGGGAGATGGAAATAGACGTCGAAGCAGAGCTCGCGTGTATGTGGGTTGGACCAAAGTGGAAGAGGTGTGGACCGCGTGGAGATTCTCCTTCGTTGCGCTGCACCTGCCATGGCGGCTACGGACGCTGGATGTGCGAGGCGTGGAGACACTCCAGGTGGGTTAAGTAACCCGTGTTGTATTGTTAGAAAGCGCAGGTCTTGGTCTGCCATCTTGACTACGTAGGTTTAAGCGATGTTAAAAGCAGAGAGACACCCGCAGCGTGTATCTAAAAATTGAGAGATTATTATTGTACGCTTGATTTTATTCTCTGCCTAGACCAGAATGTAGCCATCTACTATGAATGTAGCCATCTGCTATGAAGATTTAACAGCCCAAATCCTCTAGCAACAACTAGATACAAGGGGTAAAATCGGGCGTAGATTTCAAAACTGTGGTCAGAATTAGGTCGTTTTTGCGCTACAATACTATTTTAAAACTCTTTTCAGATGCCCCAGGTTTACGGTAAACGGGTTGCCTTTGAGGCGGTCATTTGATTGGGCAATTCCCAAAACCACATGCATTCGCGCAAAAAAATACAAGAAAGTACGCAACTGAACAGCAGCAAATCCGATTACGTAACGATTTGAGTGTGAGCTGTGAACTTACCTGCGTGTCGAGCGCCAGTGCAATGCAGTCTGCCAGTGTCCGGTGTCCCCGTCTACGAGCCACCGTCCACTGTCAGTGTCTGCAAGACACACCCCAAGGACACTCATATGCGTGGCAGTGCAGCTTGTGGCTGCACTACAACCGGCTACACTGAGTACACATGCGTGTAATGGCGAAGGACTATACCAAGAACTGTATGCACAAGACCATCGTTGGCTGTGCGCTGCCAAGATGGTGTACTCAACGAGAGTGCATTTATCTAGAGTTTCGTATTGACCTATCTGCTATTTGTATACTAATCTACCTTTTGCGGAGCAGCGGTGTTCTGGCGGAGGCTGCTCCCCACTTTGCGTTTTGACGCCTGCCGCTCACCCGAGAGCAGCAGAGAAGAGCAGCCTCGCCAGATACCGCAGTCCTGTCTCGGCCTTTTGCCCGGAACTTACGTGCTTACGTTATTTCCTGATTACTTTCCTAAATCTGATACTTAAGTGTATTTACATTTAAATGGCTCCTACGCTTAGAAGCGATCGACACATGGAGAGCAATCCCCTCGTGACAAACATACGTCACCACTGGCTATGCGCCCAATCAAGGCGCAGTCTGCGACTGACGTGGCTGCTGGTGTTCCAGACACAAGTTCTGGAATTTCGACCAATCAATATCAAGCTTCGACCCCATTGGCAGGAAAGCTTGAACAGTGACGCAACACTGTCGCACAGTGATGCAGAACGACTAATTCGCCCATCGGCTGGAATCCCGGGTGGCCGCCCGTTATTCCAAATGCTACTCGAAAGTATGCATAAGCTTTCATCGACGAGCACGGAAGAATCCGTGACAGTTGACAATCCTCCCCAGTCGCCACAAAACCAACAAAACGACGACCGAGACCCCGACGATCCGTGGCGCCCTCTAGACAACATGAGCGCTACTGGCCGCTACAGCGACGGCGAGCTGGCTAAGTACATCAAGGTCCTCATCAACTCGACCCCGATCAAGCTGTCCAAGCTCCATCTGAAGGGCGACTACAAGGCCTGGAAGATCGAGGTGCCGCTGCACTTCGAGCCGAAGATGCTGGGAGACCTCACCTACGGCCCTGAGCGCTACGATGCCGTGGAAGGCATGCGTCGTGACAAATATCGCGTGTGGTACAAGTCGCGCAAGAACAAGGCGCTCTCAGCGCTTGCGTTATCGCTGTCGGTTGACCTACGTACGACGTTCAAGGTTGACGACATCCACGAAAATATAAACGCCGCCGCTATGCTCTACGATGCGATTACGCAGCACTTTGAGGCTGGAGATGGCATTAATCCCGATTACCTACTGCAAGAGCTAGTGCCGCGCCGGCTCAAGCCAAACGAGTCGGTATCGCAGTGCGTTGACGACATTGCGAAGAACGGGATACTTCTACATCAAGCTAATGGTGAGTTCGCTGAGTGACAACATGCAAGCCTACTACTGTCGAACAGCGTGACACGTTTGAAAATCTCGCACGTGATGGCGATTGGCTTAGCAACCATGATCGTAAGGCACTTACACTTGCTGAAGCTCTACAACGACTGCGCGCTGCTGAGCACCAGCGAGACCAGCTGCGTGCGCAGACCAGACAACCGGTCGCGCATTCAATGCAAGTTGCTCACGTCGGAACGGATCAAGGACAAGGTCAAACTCCATGTACCCGAAGAAGCCGACATTTCAGAGACATCTGAGCAACTAGGAGAGCGGCACGTTGTTGAAGGTGCACATGCAAGTACGCAACGCACTCAATCGTCGGTTGCGCAAGTAGCGCAGCGACTGCAGCTGCAGGTTGAAGTTCCTGTTCAACACATACAAGTTGGAGGGCAATGACTACAGCAGCGACAGCCAACCTAACTGCCTACACTGCAAGTGCCGGTAGCTCTGCAGACTGCCATACAATCTGCGGTACAACGCGAAGTGCAACCTACTGGACAACCTGCTGTTCAACAGGATGTACAAGCTACTCTACAGCAAAGTATGCAGCCTACTGTATCGAGCACCGCGCAGAATCAGTGGGAAGGTGGCGGGTCTACAGCTGGTTTAGGGCCTACGTGAGAATCCGTCATCTACTTCTTGGGGCAAGGACTGTCGACTAGCTCGAAAGGACCTACACTTGAGCCATGGCGCAATCAAGCAGAATCACAAGGGGGTTCGGCTGTGTCGGGGGATAGTTATCGAGGTCTCCTGACGCCGGGTTTAACAGACGCCAAGAACCAAGGATGCGCAATGACTACAGACCTAACTTGGAGAGTGCGTACGAGAGAGGACTTTGAAGGCAAGATGTTGGACACTATGACCCTCCTATATAAGGACGAGGACGAAGTCGTTCACCACCCCGATTCTTCAATCGAGAACGATCCCCACCAAGAGGAAAAGGCCGTTCTCCGTCGCTGCGAGGACGTGAACCAAGAGGGTCTCCAGGGCGTTACTGATCTCCACCGCGTCAGTAGCCGTGGCGTAACGAGAGACCGAGTCGCTATGGACCGCCGCCCCAACGCGATGATCGACTGAGTCTCTATGGACCGTCATCCCTGCAGCAGCCGTGGCGTGATAATCCTTCGAGAGCCCGAGGACCTTCACCTCGACGTGACAACTACCAAGGGCGGAACATGTCTCCACGTCGATTTAAAGACCGTCGTGCCAACAGACCGCCTAACTCTCGTCAAGTCAGCGCTGTGAGCCAGAACCAAGGCAACTGACCAGCTCGAGGACCGTCTCCTGGACGACGTGGTGTACACACCGAGCGCGAGGGTGAACATCATTAGTTTGAGCTACCTGCAAATGAAGGGCAACTTCAATCTGACAGGCTCAGAAAACCAACAGACTGCTTGGATTTCCAAGCCAAGCACATCACTCAAGTTCATGATTCATGACTGTATCTACCGACTACGTGCAGAGCGAGTGACTGAAGTGATAATGATGGTGGCCCTAAAAGAGGACATGGACAGCAAGAAAGCCATGGAGCTGCTTCATCAACGAATTGGTCATATGAGCATGGAGACGGTGAAAGTGTTGGCAAACAAACTCGATGTTGGAGTTAAGATGAATGCAAAAGGTCTGACTTCCTACGAGTGCGTTGCTTGTGCTGCCAGCAAGGCGAAAATAATGTCTTATAAACGAATTCCATCGCGGAAGTCCGAGCCTTTGAAAGACTCTCATGATGGACATTTGCTCTGTGAACGAACAGTCTGGAGCTACTATGTTTCTCTTCATCATAGATGAGTCTACAAGGTACAAGTGGCCGTTCCTACTCAAGAAGAAGAGTGAAGCAACGTTCCACATCAAGGTCCTGTTGAACAGGCTGCGAACTCACTTTCCTGATAAGAAGGTGCGACGACTACACTCTGACGAAGGAGGTGAATTTGCAAGCAAGGAGCTAAGTGACTACTGCGTCGACCAAGAGATTGAGCAGCAGTTTACGAACGCCTACTCTCCTCAAGATAACGGCATTGTGGAACGTGCTAACGGCGTGGTTCTACCAAGGATCAGAGCGATGCTGATGGCTACACACATGCCCAACTCCTTGTAGGGAGCCTTTCTGCATGTGGTGACGACGTTGAACTGGTTGCCCACCAAGCCCTTAGGATCGGTGTCCCTGCGCCAGAAACTGTACGAATCGGAGTCTATGCTGGCTGACTTGCGTACTTGGGACTGTCTAGCACACGTGCGTGTTCCCCCTTAGTCAAGACAAACGAAAGAAAACTGGAAGCAAGGGCAAGACTGTGCTTATTACTGGGTTACAGTGAATCGACCCTAGGCTACAAGCTCATTGACCTGGTGACAGCTCAAGTGGTGACACCTCGTAGTGGGAATGTGAAGTTCCATGAGGAGTTGACGACTGATGGTATCTACATGAAGCACCTGTTAGAGAGCGCATTCTTTAATGATGATCATACTCTACTCGAGACTGTACCTGTGGCGCGCATCAAACCAACATGGAGACGTACCTTCCAGGTTGGAGTGACAGCATCTTTAGTTCGTAGAAGCCACTTGAGGCGGTACCACGTGCTGACGAACCTGCAGAAACTGAGTTAAGTTCGAGTGGGAGTTTGTCAATCGCTGACGCACCTGTGAGCAAGGACAGTGCGGAGACTGCTGGTGTTGCAGCACCAGCCGTGTTGCAGGAGTCTGCTGAAGAGATCAAGGAAGGCTCGGAAGCAAGGAAGCGCAATAGACGCAGAACAAAGAAGAAACCTGCAACGGTGGAGAAGGAGACAAGTGGCTTCGAGACTCAACCTCCATCAAGAGAGCCCTGCCTAAAGCGACCAAGAAGGAAGCAGAAGGCGAACGTTCGATTATCGGATTACGTGGTAGACCTAGTGCAGGCTACGACCACGGATGTGCAAATTCCGACGACGTACAAACAAACACGCGCAAGCAAGTACTGGCAGCAGTGGAGAGTTGCAATGTTGGTGGAACTTCAAAAGTTGAAAGGTGACAAGACCTGGAA